TTCTGGCAACAGGTATTTAAAGAGATAAATGAGATAATTGGGATAAATTTGGAAGTATGTCTGGATATAGCACTGTTATCAATCACTGTTATGTTTGTATGTATGTGTATGTGTTTATTGAATAAAATAATTAAAAAAGAAAAAAGAAACAGCCAGTTTCAAGAGGAGCTTGAAATTTGGGCATGGATGTTGGTGCAGTGGTCTCTGCCCCTTTCCTGCAGCTCTGACTTGAGGGCCCTCTGAGATCCTGTTCTATGTCTGAATTGTATAGATCTACTGCAGGCAACTTGGCAGCTATTATCAGGCTGCAGAATATCAGATTGGGAGGTCACAGCTGAGTTTCGAATTCTTCTTCCCATCTACTGTCCAGATCTGTGCAAAGAGGGAAAATGAACTGCAAATTTACTTTTATGGGATTCTTCTGAATGTGTGAGAGTGACCCTCTTGCACCTGCTGTAAATTCTGTAAATGGGTTTTTCTTCATGTTTGCTCTGGCCAATAAATGGCTGAAGATGCTCCTTCAGCAACCCTCCCTTTTAACATTTTTCTTCCTTTCCAAATCCAGGGCAAACAGGAAACGAAGCCAACCCCGAAGGCACAAGACACAGGACCAGAAGTCACTTGTGGATGTTATGGCAATGGAGACCACTTTGGATGAGGTACCAGAGAAGGAGGATCAGAGAAGAGTCCCCAGCTTGGATGAAGAAGAAAAAAATAAAGCATCAGACAGCAAAGAGGGTAAGGCTGTGGCCTGATGCTTCCTACATTTCTCTCAGTTTCAGAAATATGGTAGAACTCCAGACTCTTTTGGTACTGGGGTATATAGTCCCTTTTGACCCCTGGCAGTTGATATCACAGTTCCAATTCCAGTCTTTTCTAAAAGAAGTGTAGGGGGGAGGGGAAACGTAGAAGACACCTCAAAGTGACTTGGCCAGTGACTTTTATTTAAAAGGCCAGCCTGCTGAAGCAGTTGTCTTTGATCTGTGGAGCCTTCAAGATGTCATTGTCTGATTTGAAGTAACTGTCAAAATTTGAGATTTGATGTGAGGCTTTAAAAGCTTGCTGTTACGTATCCACAAAATACTTACTTATGGGTGATACTTGCATGGTGCTTCTCATTATTACAAATTCCCAAATGCTTTACAATCAATAACTAAAATACAAACAATAGATTAAAACTATGTAAAAATAACACAATTCAGTTTAAAAGTGCGGGAGAAAGGGAACTAACATTCAGGGAAGACCTCAGTGTGGAAATAGGTCAGAAGATGGGCTGCTACCACTGAGAAGGCCCACCTGCAAATAAGGGCCATGAGTCTTTAGGTGGTGGTGGTGGTGGTAGTGGTGTGTGTGTGTGTGTGTGTGTATGAATAAATAACTGTAAAACTGTGTTCTGCATTTCCTGAGATTATCTTCACTTTTTCATATTGGATGAAGTTTTTCTCCTTACTCTCCCTGTCTGTCTCTATATGGGGATAGTGAGTGCACATTCCTAAGAGGTATAATGGTGTTGCTGCTAATGATAATTTATCAGTCACCACCCTTTATTCCTTTGCTTTTACTCTGAGCAAAGTAAAGCTATGGAATATAGAAAGTACAAAAGCAGCAACCAGTTTCTGAAAGCAACAAGTTGCATAACACAAAGAAAAGTTTGGGAGGGGAAAATACCCTTCAGTATTCAACTCCTTTGACTGGTCAGAAAAGAATCTCTTTCCCTTTTTCCTAGCCATTATGTCTGCTTTATCTCTGTTATTCCACCCTTGAGATCTGTTTCTTTTCCTTCATTATTGATGTCTTAAGAGGTTGATGAATGTGGCTGGACATGTAACTGAGAAGTTGTGCCACAGCAAGCTAGCTTGACCATTGAAGTAACTGTGAGCTGCTTGCTAGCATCTTGAAAGAGTGGTTGCTGTCCAGCTGCAGGTACATTTGAATAAAGTTGATTTCGTAGATTCACCTGAGTGTGGCTGGGTCAGAAACAGCTTAGTCACTTGGCAAAATTATACTCAAAGAAGAGATGAGGGGAATGAAAGCCTGTTAAGTCTGTTAGACCTTTTAGTAGTTTTCTGTACCATCAGCCAGAGCAACTTTCTGGATTAATTGTCTGAGTTTGGAGCAGCGCTTTACAGTGATTCCTTGTCTGTTTGACTGTTCGCAGAAAGTGACAATGAGAGCTTATTGCAGTATTCCATGAGAGTTGTGTCATGAGGTTCCGCAGAACTCAGGTTTGTTTCCACATTATCTAACATGAAACCACTGGAGAATGTGGACTGAATTAGTATCCACATTTAGGTGATACCCTGCTTCACCTCTGATCTTCATGGAATCCAGGTGAGGCAATAGATGTCTTAGATAAGGGCTGATAAGTTGAGGCTCTATCCCAGTATTTCTCAACCTTGGCAACTTTAAGATATGTGGACTTCAACTCCCAGAATTCTGGGAGTTGGTCCACATATCTTAAAGTTGCTAAAGTTGAGAAACACTATTCTATCCAGTAGACAAGACAAAAATCCTGTTGGGGAATAGGTTGTCCACCCAGGTGAGAAAGATTCAATCTGTTCTCAGTAAAGATGTTTTTCAGGGAAAGGATAACATGCCAGTTGGAGGTGCACCAGGATCCACCAGTGCCATAGGATCTCAGTGGCCAGAAGCACCTTTTATCCATTTAGGTCAATTCATCAACTGTGGTCTTCGCTGGACAGTGATCTCTCTGCTCTGGTAACCTCATTTGTTTCAATGGCCTGGTGATACCTTGCAGTTCATTGGTTCCAATGCAGAGTAGAAGGGCTGTCGGGAATTCCACTTAATCCCATAGAGCAGTTAAGCATGTGATGCCAGTGCAGATGCCAGTCTGGTTTAAAAGTAAATGCTTTCCTCAAATGAAATTCCAAAACATGTTGCAAGATTGCTGATTCACTCAGCACCTGTTGCATTTCAATGAACATGGATAATTGGGACCTTTAAAAATTAAGCCTGAATGAGAGGCGGGGAAGGTAGACTTTGAATATTCTATCACCATGCAAAGCAAGGAGAATGATTTAAAATGTAATACAAAATTCTGAAATTCTCAGTTTCTGTTTTTTAAAAAAGTGGATAACAGAAGAATGAGTGAACAAGGTCTGACATTTTAGAAGCTATAATATAGCACAGTTTTCTAATGTTCAGGCATTTCCAACTTTGTAGGTTGTGAGATTCCTAATCTTTCCACTTCACTATAGAAATAGAATGGACAGTAGCATAAGCATTATACGTATTTTTCCAGGTCATAGAAGTTGGATTTCTTCAACGAAAGCTCTATCCCAACAATCTCCAAACTATGATCCAGGCCATTAATGTGCTGTGAAAAATATATTTAATTAAAATTAAATCTCCTAACAGCCTACGTTTCCCTCATCATGAAAGGATTTAGAACAGCTGAATAGGACTGTATTTTTGGCTTAATTGTTGTTCCTTTTTATATTCATTTTTATTTCATTTGCTCACACATAATGCTAAATCAGGAATTTTTAAGACCGTGGTTTGATGAGTAAGGTGTAGTGGTCTGTTTGCACATAATGCTTACAATATTTTGTTACAAAATGTAACAATTTATTGTCACAATAAATGTATATACATTTTTATATAAATGGAAGAATGAATGAAGGGTTCACCGATTACTTAAACCCAAACCAAGGTACATTGTAGCATAATGCTAAGCAAGGACAATGTGGGGTTAAAGTCGAAATATTTAAGATTTTAAATAGTCTCTGCTTTTAATTAGTTAATTGATAATAATAACAATACTGCTGTTGATTTAATGGAGATCTGGCCAATATTCCCTTTTTTGTAGATGGCATATTCTGAGCCAATTCAGAATTCTTACACCTTGGTAGGCCTGTTTCTCCTGCTCCTCAAGCAAGAGAAGGAGTCCACTAGTGTGTGGCAAAGGCACTGCACAACCAGAGCCAGTGGCTCCCTGCGGCTCTCTCTCAAAAAAAGCAGCAGCACATTGAGCAATACGTGCTTGGCTTCTGTGCAAGCCCCCACAGTTACAGCCTGAAATAAATGGCCTGAAAAATGCCAATGTCTCCTGGGGGATGAGAGATAAGTGGCACCGGCAGAGCATCGGAGCCTTGAGAAGAGGAGGGGAGAGAGATGAATTGTTGTGTTCGAGATGAACAGCTTTTAAATTAGAGCTGAACCCTGCTACAGGCAACTGCTAAAGTGACAGGGTTGATGGGATGGAGGCTGTCAGCCCCGTTCCTTGAAGTCTGCCTTTGTGGCTGAGCAGTGTTTGTGGCTCTTTCTGAGATGTTGCTGTCATCTCCTGGGCTCAGTTATCCTTGGTTAATGTGAACCCTTAGGAGCCAGCCCCTGCGTCTGGTTCATGAACTTTGTGTAAATAGGGAGCTAGCTTTTTTTTTTCAGATTTTGAGTTAGATTTTACACAGAACTGGTCAACAGATGTGTTGGTGACTTCTTTGTTGGCCAACATGTTAACTTTCTGCCAGTGTCCTCCCTTTGGTTCCCACCATGGCTGACTCCCATATTCATATCAATCCATTCCTTGATGACAGCAGCGTCAGATAATTCAGTTATGAATGACAGATCAGATAACCAGAAAGATAATTCTATTTTTTTAATGGTGGGTAGATCCCATGTGGAATCACTGAAGCTTTGTGAATCAGCCTTTGGCAATTCAAGCTCTTCTAACCAAAGCAGAATCATGACTGTTCTTTCCTGAGAAAAATCTTCTATGCAGGGCTACTTAATCACTTTCCAGAGTTGGATATTCGATATTTTCTTTTGCCTCCCACCCAAGAAAGCAGAAAAGGGGAGAATCTTGAAATAGGCTGACTAACTTGGACCAAATTGGTGTCAGCTAATCCAGCATCCTGCTATCCATAGATCTTTCTGAAACTCTCCAGAACAAAGTGGGAAAGCAAAACACTCTCCTTTGGTTGATTCCAGAAATTGGATGTTATTATAGTAGTATACTATTGCTCATTCGGCAAACAGTTGTCACGACTAGTGGCCCTTTAGGACATGTTTGTTTCACTTGGCTTATTGACTTGACTCCTGTGATGACACTTGAATAACAGTATACGTGACACAGTTCCCAGTGCCTGCCCCATTTTGGGATGACTCCACAGCGTCTTTCCCCAACTTGATATCTTCTGGCTGTGAACCTAACTCTCATTATCCACAGCCAGCATAGGAGGTTATATATTCGGCAAATCTGGTAACTGCTATTCAGAAGCAACAGAGGACAACAGCCATGTTCTTTGGTTGCTCAGGACCTGGTGATTGGAGACAGCTTCATTCTCCCTTGTGTGTGGAGGGTTACTATAATCTTTCCTGGAATGGCCACAGAGAAATCCAGTCTGATTTTTCATTCAGTGCATTTGTTTATCTAAGGAAATTCATTATTCCTTTCCATGCGGTGCTCAAAAACAGCTTTATTGCGAAGCATTACTTACAAGCTGTATCTTGTTACTTTCTTTTATTTTTAAATAAGTGGCTGTAAATAAGACTGTTCAAATGCCAGCTCCTGGGAAGTGTTTTGACACCGACTTCTGCCAACAAAGACTTCTTGGGTGGAGGGCGGAGAGTTTGAACAGTTTTCTCTTGGTTGGGGTTTAATCGTTTCACAGAGCTCCCTGCTATGTTCAGGCCACTCTGATTTTGCCTGCTCCACCTTCCTGGCCACTGGCATTGCTGGGCTCTGAGATCAGCTTCTGAAAATTGGGAAGGTAGCTGGTAAATCTTGCAGATGAGGGCTGCAGTTACTTCATGGCTGCTCATCTCTCTTGTTTGAGAAATGTCTTCCGAAAACAGAGTGACATTCTGTAGGCAGAAGGGTCCAGATGTTCTTGTCTCATGCGAGTATAGATGGGATGGTGCCTCTCTGGTGGACTGTTATTTACTATCCTTTGAATAGACCCAATAGCTTTATTCATGAAATTGGTGAGGGAGGGAGATAAAATTTCATTAATTCACCACAACGGCAATCAGAGAAGCGATGTCAAGGCAGTTGTTGTCAGGACCAACTTGAAGGCCAGCAGAAATTACCATTTCTAGGGTAGCAAGGGGAGGGGGTGTGATATGTGTGCTGGACTGCTCTTCAACAAGATGTCAAGGAGGCCGATGGAAGTCAGGAACTCTGTTTTGTTTTATGGGTGGCTGGCTGTCACTGTGGAGAAATACTGGAGCATCTATCTGTCTGGAGACTGTGGATGCAATCATCAGCACATCCTCAAGGGCCCACAGCAGGAGAGTATAATAGATGGTAGGGTTTGGGGTGTGTGAGTATGTATGTATTGTTTTGGTCAGGAAAGTGAATAAGAAAGAAATGAGATAGGATGCTGGGGAGTGGGGGACTGGATTCCAGTTGCCACTCTTGTAATGGCATCTTACAATACATCTGGTTCAGGACCTGGCTTTGAGTGCTGCTTCTGTCTTCAAGGAACTTGCAAGAGAAGCCAATAGAGAAATTATTTAAGGAGGTGTTATTTGACACCTCATTTCCTGAGTTTTGTACTGGCAGGGCTGAAATGAGTTGAATAACTCCTACTGAACCTCTGAAGTGATCCTCTTATTGTGATTGAAAAAACAAACTTCAGCAATCTGGAAGCTGCATGTTTTGTGTGTGTGTATGTAGCCATGCTTCTGCTAACTGCTCCGTTTTATAATCCCTTTATGGTTGCTTTAAAGCTTTGTTCCTTCTTCATTTCCTCAGGGCCTGAGAATTAGTGTTCCCCTTTCTCCACACTAAACTAAGGCCATGTTTTCATAAACTGCTGCTTCATTTTTAATCAGCCGTTAATTCTCCTTAAGATTGGCTGTTTGTATTGACAAAAGCATGTCTAAAAGGGAGTACTGGTGCTGACTATGCTCTTAAACTGTTTGCGTGTTAAGAAAATTACATGAATGGGATTCTCTCCACCTTTGTGAAAGTGAGTCTGCTATAAACAGGCTTTCTAGAAGTGGAAAGCAGCACGGGCAAGACACTTAGTAAACACGCAGTCCCTCATATCATCCCTCACCCAATTTCATACTAAAGCATCTTTGCCTCACAAGTCTCAGAGGAGATTAGAAAGTTAAGGCCATGACATGATCTATGTGTACCTGATAATGGATGACTGGGGTTGGGTGGCCATGGGCTGTCTAACCTTCAGATAAGCAAGGATCACTTCATTACATCAAGAGAATCCTTGGAGGGTCGATCTTCCACTGATGTATCTGTGTGAGGTACAATCATACAAGATATTGCAGGAATCTGTAGGATTCCAGGAATCATTTGAACTAGATCTGATCCCTGATTAAATCTCCTAACTCAGCAGCCCGCTCCAGCTTTTCCAATATCCAAGGTACAGACACTTTATATGATTATAGCATTCTCTGAAGCCTATTGATACAGGGCAGTATATAATATTTCAGATAAATAAAGCACCAGTAGTGTGCCCATTTCTAGCCTATACGTTGGTAAAGTTAGGCTTGAGAATGTGAAGGTCAGCCTGCGTTACAGTTTCCTTTTAACCTTTGTTTCAGGTTTTGTTCTTTCGCGGCTTTAGAGTCATAGTAATTGACATCATCTTTGTCATTATAAAAAAAATAGTAAGGGATAGATCACAGCTTCCGTTGAATATGAGTGAGGCCAGGGACAGGGAAACTTTTATTCTGGCAATGGCCACTTTCCCTTTGGGGCAATTCATCTGGAGCAATATGCCAGAATTAAGCAGAGTTGGAGTCAGCGGTGGTAGATTCAGAACCAGAAGTATGGAGGGCTGGATCCCTTTTTCCGTACGGTATCCTGTCCTATCTACTGTAGGTGGTTGCTAAGAGTCAACAGTGATTTGATGGCACGCAATCCTCCTATCTGATCCTTTCTCTACCTCTTCAGTCCACAAAGTACTTGGGAGTGGGATGGGGAGAGATTGTTTTATGAGAGGTTCAGAGTGATTATTTAACTAAGATTCACATGTAGCCCGAGTCACTCAAATCCATTTTTCTCCTCGTATGGGCCAAAGATGGTGTCACACATTTCTGGAAGCCTTTGCAGTGTTTAGTTCTGGAAATGCAGATTGACTTATCCTGGGAGAAAAAAAGAAGCTTCACAATTTGTATATTTGAATACGGCCACCCTTCTCAAATACATGATTCTGGGCGGCTTACAACAATTAGAAACGATGTAAAACAACAAAAGAGCCATATGACAGTATGAACGTCTTTTGCAGTGGACCTGTTGGAACCGACTCTCTTTCTCTGTCAAGCAGGGGAATACAAGCCAAAGTTGCGCAACCCAAGAGTTAAAGGGGAGAGGAAGAAGAAGCAGCAGCTCCCCTTGCACCAGCTTCTTCCTCCGCTGCTCCTCCCCCAGCCACATCTGCAAAAGCAGGAGGGGCAGCAGCAGAGCCCTCCAGAGGAAGAAGGGACTGATGCCAAGCACGCAGCGGGAGACAACCTGCCCCCCATGCCTGACCTTAGCACCCCGTCTTCCGAAAGTCCGGGTGAAGAGGACGAGTCGAAGCAGCGACCCATAATCCCCATGCTGTATGTGGTTCCCCAGCGCAAAAAGGCGCCGTTGGAGAAGAAGCACCTATCCTGCCAGGAAGTCTTTGAGCGGTTCGTGAAAAGGGACCAAATGCCCTCTTTGGATCTTGGTGTGAAAGATGAGAGTGTCAAGGGAGAGGATGCGGAGCTGCCTGGCGAGCCCAGTAAATTGCAGGTAAGCTTGGATAAAAGTGGGGCCTTGTGAAGTCAAACCCAGCAGTCTGGTGGGAAGATACATGCCTATCTTCATGTCTGGGCTAAGAGCTTATGTGCATTTTTTCCCCAGAATTGGTTGTCTATTTTTTTTTTAAGACTTGGGAATTAATGAGGTCTGGTTATAGGTGGAAAAGAAGGTGGGTTTTTTTTATGCATGATTTGAAACCGTAACATGAATACATGCCGTTTCAGATCTCTAATGTCCTATCTACCTTGCTGTTATCACTGAGATGTTAAGACCTTGCTTAATTATTGCCCAGGAATTGTGGTGTGGGATCCTATTCCAAAATGCTTCAAAGAGCTGGCTGGCTTTTTTCCTAGTGTGTTATTCTCCTCTTCCTTTCTCTGCTCATTTCATACTTATCTTCCCTGCCCTTAGAGCTGTAGAATAGATACATTTAGTATTTGTTGAAGTTGCAGTTTGTTGCTTGGCTGGAAACCTGGTAGGATGGACACAAAAGGAAATGAGCTTCTCAGGCTGAGCACTTCAGGAGCTTTGATAGTTGTTTGGGAAAAAAACATTCTCCAACAGTATGTTTTCATTTTTTTTTAAAAAAGGAATAATAATGTGGAAATCTTATGCTGTCTTCATGGTAGATGTCTAGTATGGATTGCATGTTCTGTTGGTCTGTGGAGTTGCATGATGTGGACACAGCCTCACCCTTCCCCAGCCAGGGCAATACAGCTTTCTGTTGTGTGGTTCAAAAGGCTTCACGTGGCAGAGTGAAATGTTTGGAAATTATAGCATTTCTCTCCCTTCCTGTAGCACTTTTTCAAGCTTGCAACAGTGCCTTACAATCTTCCCATTTATTTGTCCTTAGTGCAGTCTTGTGATACAGGTTTTCTATTTCTGTGGATATATGTGAACCTGTTTTGAAGGTTAGCTTTCCAGGCACTAGAATACAATCTCATTCTTCAAAAATGCAACTTTGGAAATTGCTCCACATGTGACTATTTCGTGAATGCCGTACTTCTTTCTGACGCGGGGAAGTTCGTGGCAGAAATGGCTTAGTGCCTCCTATCCTAAAATGTTTCATTATTTTGAAGAAGCTTCTCCTCACCCACAGCTGAATCAGGCATGAGAATACTGTAGTCACTAGCTTATTCACCTATGAGGTTTAAAAATCACCTTCGATTACCAGATAGGATAATTAGTTAATTCAGGCTATCAAAATATAATTAGGCTAGTTAAAGTACATGTAGGCTTATTTGTGATAGTGTGTGAAATAATCCCCTCCTAGTTCATAAGCTGTGTCACTTTCCTTCTGACATATGATGCAACACAGAAGGAATGAGGCCAGTAGGAATATTCATTCATGTTTCAGTCATTCACTCATGCATTCATTTTATATGGCTGCCTATCTCGATCAGTGACTCTGGGTGATTTTTGTCCCACATGAATTGAATTCTTCAGTGCCATCTTGAAAAATGCACTTGATGGCTGCATTCGTTATCAATGGCTATACATGGATCGTTGGAAGAAAATGCAGGTTTTAAAGACTACTGTGAATGAGAGGGGAGGAAACATAGGAAGAAATGTAGTGTAAGTGTGCATGTCATGGACCGATGTAGTTGATAAATTATGTAACTGTGTAGTTTTGTAGTTGATAAATTGTGTGACGTGACTGTAGACCATACTAGCTGAGAATTATGGAAACTGCAGTCCCTACATATCTGAAGGGCACCCAACATGGAAGGCCAGTATGGGCATAACAATTTGTCGGATTTAAGGTCACTTTACAGTGCAATGGGGCACTGTGGCAACGTGGTCAGTTCCATCAGCTCAGTGGGCAGGTTCTTTCTCTGTGTCCTTCTTGTCCGACTCTGTTTTTATCCTTTTGTGTTGGTGGTCCCACTTATAAGTGACTCAGTCCCACCTGTAAGTGACTCAGTTGCCCCCATAGACACTCAGGAAGAAAAGAGAGTTGCTTAGTGGTAACTTTCATACAATATACCTTATGTTACATCTTTCTGAGAACAACCACAACAAATCATTTTAAGTAACAAGCCTTCTAAACCCTTCCATAGCTATTCAAGCCTTACTATCTCAGTATTTTGTTAACCACAATTTACACAGAAGGCATGTTTTGAGAAATGGAAGAGAAGAGAGTTCTGCCTGGTTCCATTTGGCATCTGTAACACTTAAAGCAGCATTCTTGATAGTACTTGATAGTATCCTGCTTTCAAACCTTGCCTTCCTTCCAAAGAGATATTGTAAGCAGAGAGATCCAGCAATATCTGTCTCCATGCTGCTGTTTTGGAGGGAAAGAGAGGAAAGGAATCCATCAACATGTGTTTTGTTTCCTTGAGTCATCTATTTTTGAGCTTATGCCACTTGAGTTCACAGATTTGACTGGTGAACTCTTAGCTACACATCTTCTCTACTTGTGACCATCCAGAACATCAAGATATTCCCCTCTTTTTCTACTAGAAGAAAGTTCTTTTCCAGAAAAAAATCTTGAAAATATGGGAATTTTTGCTTATTCTTTAACATATTTTCTTGACATCAGTTACGCTTCTGACCTAGCTGATATTTAGTATAGAGATCCCTTGTTTAGGCTTAGGGTTGGTATCATTCTTATATTAATGTATTGTCAGTTGCATCTGGCTGTACCTCTGATTGAAGACAGGTCAAGACAAGTCTTCATGAAAAGAGTATGCCTCCTAGTGGATAGAGAAGAGCCCCCTGTGTATTGGACTGCTGGGTGAGAAATTGAAAGCCAGTCCAGGAAGATAGTACATTCTCTGATCACCCTTAATGCAAATGATGATATCTGACCTTATTCCCATAGTATATTTATGCAGAGCCAATGGACAGAGAGATCAAATATGCAAGTTTACCACACACAAAACAGTGGGAAAGAGTATAGCTTGTTTCAAAGTTGGATAACCACAATACTAGACTCTAACTAGATGTTAAGACTTCAGGCATAATAACCAGATGACCTATGATAGAAAAGGACTTGCCTGTCCAAGAAATAGTTACGATGGTAATTGGAGTAAAAGAACCCCCCCCCAAAAAGGAGCCAGACAGGTCTTTATAACCAACCCCTCCTCCTTCCAGAATTGTTGCTGTGTGTCCTTTGTTTCTCTGTGTTGCCAACTGCGCACTCTCTTCTTACCTCTAGTAGGGTCCATTTACACCAGTGGGCCCCACAGCATTGCTGGCTGGGGAATTCTGGGAGCTGAAGTCCACAAATCTTAATGTTGCCAAGGTTGAGAAACACCGGTCTAGACTCATGTTTAGAGTTCCATCTAAACTTGTGTTACGTGTTGGGCTGGCCGGTTATCAGAGGGGTTCTGCCCTGTGGATTTGATATGGGGAAGCATTTGTTGCAAGATTCAGTGTAAGTAATCCACCTTAACCTGTTGCAGGCAGTCCTACGCTTGGATGATATCACCTTGTGGAGGATCCCTAAAAGGGAGAGGCGGGAGTTGTTCAAGCGCGTTAGCGGCAAGCCGGCGAGATACGCGGCAGCTCTGTTCACCCGGATGGTCCCCCCGGATGAGCTGCGGAGGTGGCGAAGCACTGTTAGCTATTGCGGGGGCAGAGGGAAGCATGCTCTGCCCCACAACGTGGTTGCCCGCTTGAGGCACCTTTTGTTCAAGCAGTACTCGGACATAATAGCGGCCGACTGGAGAAAAATCTGGTTGAAAATCAACAAGATCCTTGAGGCTTGATGGGGCCACTGCTGGGTGCTCCTGCCCACTGCTGCTGCATGGCTGTTCATAGGGAAGTTGTCTTTTCTTGCTTGGGAATCTTCCATGGCAGGCTGGGCCAGAAACCTCCAAAAGACGAGACTGCTGCAACTTGTTGAAGTGCTCTGGGCCAAAGTAGAACTCTGTGCTTGTGCTGCTGGCCAGTCATGGGCACAGCAGACGCCACATGTTTCATTGTTTGGCTGTGAAAGGGTAGAGCTTGCCACCCAGCAATAAATTTTTTTATACATTCTCTTTTGACCATTGTGATCCCTTCTTTATTTGCTCTTTTGATATCCTAGGAGGTTCTGTTGTGCCTGTTGTTGTCACTCTGCGTATATGTGATAAGAGAACTTTGGCTGAGCTTTGGGAATCGCTGCACTAGCTGTGGGCTGCTTGGCACAAAGGCATGGAATACGTGGCCTGCCCTGTCATGAATATCTGTCAACTTTTTGGAAGAATTGAAATAGATTCCTAAATGCCTTCTCTCTTTGTCGTCCCTATTTTCTGTGCCTGCTGGTGTTCCAGGATTCCCCCGGATCATATCAATAGTGTTAAAATTTTATCAGAATGCCACTAAGAGCAGCAGAAAAAGATGAAGGATTAGAGATAGATGTTTGAGTTGGGTCAGGTCCAATTTTGCAGAATACATTTATGAACTAAGGTTGAGGTCGAATTGGCCGTGTGTTAAAACTTAATACAGACTCTAAATTGCTAACTAAAAAGCAGGGCTGCCTCTTCAGTTCCCCATTCACTAGTAATCTGTGTAAGATCTCTAGGTAGTCAGCCACAGGGTGTAGCTAAACTGCCTTTGCATCCCATCTTGATCAAGGCAGTTGTCAGGAAGGCAACTGAGAGGAATCAGAACAGTTGAAAATGGGACTGGACAGTGTAGCTATGCAGAAACATTTCAGAGCTGGCCCAACTTGTGGATATGTTTCTCGAAACCTGAATGAGCAAATACCTAACTGTTCATTCCCAGGAATTAAAGTTTTCTTTCATAAGTAGATGTTGTTCTCCCAAAGAAGAGATGAGATAACATGACATGCCAAAATACATGGCAGACCGGGATCTGGCCAGCACTATTTGAAGGGGCAAGTAAGGCTCAGCTCTCTTAACATTCTTACATATGCAAAAGGAAAAGTGTTTTGCAGGAAATACACCTCAGGCCAGGTGGGAACATGCAGATTTGATTTAAGTTATACCATGAAGGTTCAAAGAATTATACTTACTAATACAGTGCTTGACACTTGTTTTAGAGTAAACAATTAAAGGAGGAAAGAAAAATATTTTTCTGGATAAAAATGGGGAGAAAAACTTCTTGTTTTTTAAATAATTTTCACTTGTGCAAAAGAATAAAGATGGAGAGAGGCCATCAAGGCTTCTCTAGTACAGAATTGGGCATTTTCAAAATGCTGAATATTATATGTTCACTGCTTTAACAGTATTGAATCACTATTGCTAGGCAACCCTTTCTGTTTCCCTCTGACAAAGCATTTCTCACCTAATTGGTTCCATGGCTTTACACAGAGATGTGTTGCGGTATGTATGTGAGCAGGTAGGTGTGTCAATGGTGGGCATTTGGTAATTTGCCATGAAAGCAACTCAGAATTTTAATATGCAGAAAGAGGAAGGTGAAATAAATCGGTGCCTGGATCTGAGCTGGAATCAGTGGGACCAGAAGCTCACCTGGAAAATGCAGAGCCCATTTAAATCATGCCATTGAGTGGGTATTTTATGATTCTCTCATAAAATGGTGGATCCATGTGTCATCCGCACCAGGCTTACTGTTGAGAGGCAGGCTATGCCACCCCTAGCAGAGAGAGGCATGTTCTCAGGAGCTGCTCTGTTCTCCACACTGTGGTTTAGCAGCTGGGGGTGTGCTTTGCCATACAAACAGTCTTCCTCATCGATGGTCAGGCTGTATAGTCCCCTCACATCTCCTCTAGTTCATTGGGGAAAGGAGGGTATAGCCTCTACTTTGCCTTGGATGGTCCCAGGCTCAAACCTTGATGTGTCCAGGTAAGCTTGGGAAAGGACCTTGGAGTCTGAGCTCCAGGGAGAGAGTGTCTGCTTGTCCAGCAGAGAGCCGTACATTAAAGCAGCAAAGGTTTGCATCAGAGATTTTTGTAAAAGACTTATTGAAAGAGTACCTTCTCACTAGCAATATTGATGTTCTTCCCACCCTCCACCCCCACCCCACACCCCCACCCCACACCTGTGGGCCTGCTTCTAGCTCCACCTTAAGGCTGAGAAGATAATCAGTTCATTTAATTAAGGGGGGAGAAGAGATCTTATTTGTGGGCCATTTGTTCTTGTCATACAGATGACTAGCAGTTGACAAGGTGGCCCTCTCTTAAAACACTTAGTAAAGGGGAAAGATGCATAACTCTTACCTGCTTTCATCGTCAAGATGCTCTAAATGAACTTAAAAGGCTCTTCTGGATTTTCATTGCAGCTCTTTGGAGCTTTTAAAGCTATTGCTTCTTGCCCTGTCCATTTAATATACTGAAAATAACTATTAACCTTCTTACAGCTGCATGTGCTTCACAAGTCCATGGGGCTTAGAGTTTCATTCAGAATTCAGCAGATAGAGAACTTAATTTTGGATTTTGTTGTTAACAGCCTAGTCCTTATTGTGGTTAAGAAAATGCTGAAAAATATGTAGGCAATGCGCCAGAGGCTGAGCGGAGCCATCAACGTGTTGCTCTTTTACTCCTTTATTATATGCAGAACAGATAAGCAGGTTGACTCATTTCTCACATTCAGCTTCCCTTGTTGAGCGTTTGCGGTTGTAGGGTGTATACCACTCTGTCTTTCTGCTTCTCCTGACCCACAGAATTTTGCTGAGTTACAGCAGCGAAATGCAAAGAGCTCATCCTCTGGTAGCCTGGACCACAGTTCCTATCACTGCCAGACACAGATGTTCATGGCTGGAATGGTAGCATCAGGATGAAAAGCAGATCAGAAAAGGCTGCCAAAAAAGGCATTAATGGTTCTACCTTGGAGCTTTTCATCATAAGACCTCCATTGTTCCCATTGTAAGGTATACAAAATAATGCTCTTTTATTTTGGTGGCTTTTTTCCTTCCAGACTACTTCTACTTTCTCTAAACTCAAAATGGAGATCAAGAAAAGCCGCCGCCACCCACTGGGGAAGCCACCCACCCGTTCCCCCTTGTCTGTGGTGAAGCAGGAAGCCTCCAGTGATGAAGGTGAGTTGAAAATGATGAGGGCTGCTTCTGAATGGGCTAGCATTTAGTAATTCCTCTGGTTGCCCTAGGCAACAGAGTTGCATATAAGAGAGCAAACAGGCTGGAAGAGGAGTAACAGATCACTCCAATCCTCTTTTGCCAGCTTGCTTGGTTTTATGTTGTGGAGGAACCATGGTTAGCATCAAAGCACACCTGGGCAGATTGTGAAGGGATGAAACATTCTCATCTTCCCACCATTAGTCCCCTTGCCGGGGGCTTTATTTTCCCACAGAATCACAGGCTGCTTAATCTCTTAGCAGACTCATGAAAACATTAACAGGCTAATATATTTTACTGTTGTTGTTTTTTAAAGCAGCTTGTTAAAGGTATTTGAGAATTGTATGGTCGAAGGCTTTCACGGCTGGCATACGATGGCTGGTGTGGGTCTTCCGGGCTGTGTGAATGGGCACAGAGAGGACTGCTCCTGTCTGTGCTCCTGCTCTCTGAAGATGCCAGTCACAGGTGCTGGCGGGAAGTTTGGAAACAAAAAATCAAGAAC